CTTCAATTCACTAGTGCAGTAATTTGTACCAAAACTATACCATTGTTTTAGTTTCCATTAATGTAAATAGGTGTTTTGACTCTTGACGTTTTCAAAGTTATGTTCATGAAAAGTGGCCCTTTGATTTTGAGTCCTCTTACACTGAAACGAGATGAAAAATATTGGTTGGCATGATTCGACTCGCCTGTCTAGATCATCCACGGGAGTACCCTGCCCTCTATACCCACAGTAACAGCCATAATCACTGTAATACGTAGAGCTTCTGCCGGTGGGACATTTTATCATGTTATGAAACTGAAAGAGGTTTCTCTGGGTACGGACAAACTCCTCTGCGAAAGAACAAAAGATGACGCGATTGATGAGATGTGTGTTTCTACCATTCACAAATGTGCCAGACTATTGTGTCTCAGTTTGTCTCGAGACACAGGTAGAGCCGCGGGGTGAGTGTGACTCGACCAACCCGCCTCGTTCACAGGGCTAATTTGAGCTCTCGGAGACCAAAATAAAACTTAAAACTTAAACCGTATTTCTCAAAAAGACCAAATAGACAGATCACCAATATTTCAAGCACGATATCAAAGTTGTATAAAGAACACAATTAGCTAGGTCGTAAACTAATACAATTTTCAATTTATGAAATGTTTTCCCTGTTTTCAGTTAATACAGTTAATATTAGTAAACCTTTTCCCATTTTCACGAGAATAAAATCCTCAAAACACTGTTTTCAGAGATTTGTCACCTGGACAACCTACTTATGGACAGGATGAACTTAATTCCATGTTTCTCGAAGCATTCATTAGTAAGTTATCGTGCTTATAAAATGATCACACCTTTTAAACCCTTAGCCCTTGACTGACTGTATTACTCTTCATCCTCTCTCACCAGCGCTCAAGTATTGATCAGTCTTTGCTCACGATGAAAAAGGGGTGATAATTGTAAGATGCCCTTGGATATCGGTTTAAAAGGTGTACCGTATCAAAAGAAGCTAAAACGCGAACAAAGTCGTTACCAAGGCTTCCCTTATTCTTACCTGGCTTATCCTTCTGTTGTTCGCCCTCCTCGAGGAGTGCAACCGCCAAAATATAACATAAATACAAAAATGACCTATGGGCATTATTGCACAAGACTCATACCTTGCTCGGATATATATTTTACTTGAATTTGAGCTATACGGACTACTGACAGGCAGAATGATGCTCGTTGGTCATTTCCAAAAAGAACTAAAGTTAGAAAAACAGAAGACAAAGTAGAAGTGCGTGCTGCGTGACGACTGAATGGACATCTTAATTATTTGCCACCTGGTCTTCTTTGTGCGGAGTTACTATACCTTATGTCGTTTAAGTAGGTTCGAAATAACCACTGCTCGGGATAAATAAAGCTTATATATTTTTTTATATTTTAAATATTTAAGTTAAGATTGGGAGGCAGAGCAAGGATATTCAAGCTTTTTCATTGTTTGTTAGGGTGACTAACCTTTCCCGGGTTCTTGAGAGATGGAAAAGCGAAGGCAGAGGCTAATAAAATTAGCGTTACCACTATTATTTGTTGCATGACGCTAGTTAGTTCAAGACTTCGCAAAATATCGACTTCGCAAGGTACTCTGTCTATCTGGTAAAATGCAGATAATGTGTAGTTTAAATAATCTTTCTTGCTTTTTTTACAGTGAGTTCGAGTAATCTATCTGCCACTTTTATTTTTTTAAGGCTAGATCATTTTGTCACGGATGTGAACGGGTCATCTGCTCCAGCTGACACAAAGACACGCAACTGAAATCACAAATAATGCCGTAAATTGTCTTAAAGTGGGTTAATCGAAGATACAAGAGCCCCTTGGTTGGAGTACTTAAAGGACAGTGTGTAGGCATATCTGTTATTTGAGAGACAACAGCACGTACAGGGACAATTGCGAGATCGAGTAAAATGCGTCTATAGAACAGAACATACATAGACAACAATGTATCCTGATTGGCCAAGGTGTCCAAAATCTACAACCACTAATGGAATTGAACCAGATTTAAGTTATTTGTATTAAAACTTAAGAGCGGTGAGAAAAGACAATACTTATCAGCTTGATAATAAGAGAAAATGAGTTTAAGATCTTCCTCTACTAATAAACCTTTCTAGCTTGGGTTGTTTGTTTTCCCATTACAGATCACGTGATATTCTCTAGAGAATTGTTCTTTTATCCGTCTAACAATTATTCATTCATATACACACGACTATTCGAACATTTGAAATCGAGAATTCTAAAGGGTATAATCACATGGTCTGAAATGGGGCAACAAAACACCAAAGCTAAAAGGTGTATTTGAAATGAAAGTTGCATAATTGTGAGGACTTCGTTGTTTTTTTCAGGAAACATCCTCTTTGGTGTTCACTAATTAGCTTGTGCAAGGAACTCTTGAACTACGAGGCTTTCAATATCTAAGGAGAAGGCTAGTCAATAAAAAAATATTGTTTAAATCGTCGTATTCTATAAGCACCACTTAAGTGCATACGTATACGCTAATGGGGCCCTTCAGTGAAGGAATACAACTAAGAGGAGTCGTTCAAGTAATATTTCAAACACGAGAGACAGTGTTTCATCGGGATATCCAAACACCGAGAAGAGAGTTGAAAATGCGACGCGCTGCGGAGTATTTTTGACGAAATTCGAGGTGTTTGGATAGCCGATAAAATACTGTCTCGAAAGTTTGATATATCTTCGCAATCGAAACAAAAACTATGGAATAAAAGGAGATGTAAAATCGTCAAAATCTATGCTTATTAAGACCGTGTATCCAAGCCTCCTTCACGGTTGTGATTTTCTTTGTTTTAACTTGATGAATTCTTGTTGATGAGTTTGAGAAGGCAATTAACAGACGGTCAGAACATTTCGCGTGACACAGATTTTTAAAGACACCTCACCGGCTTTGTCATTCTTGGTGTACCTTTTCTGTGTTTCAAACCTTTCAACTCATACAAAGCAGCTTTCTGAACTGTTTTTCTCATGAGGAGATGGCAGTTTTGTTGAAAGATTAATCTGCATGTTAAACATCTCTTTTTTTATCTCATGCCCCATTCACACCAACTAAACTTGTTTTACTAAATCCGGTTTAGGTTTTTCTTATTAGTCGATTGTGCTTTGCAGTCATTTTGAGAGGACAAATTTCAAACCATCGCTCGCTTACAAATTTTTATCAAACAGGTTTTCAACTTGTTAAGTTGTGGGGTGTACACGGTACGAGCAGATAATTTTTAACCGTGTTAAGTTAAACCACTTTTAAACATGTTTAACATGCTGGTGTGAATGGAGTATAAGTTCAGCCCGTAAAACAATTTGATTAGAGTAGCTGAAACGACTAACAGTATTGACTTAATTAACTCAAGCGAAATAGAGACCGAAAAGAAAGAAACAGAAACAATGAAACTGAATTCCTTTTAAAGGCGTGCAGAGTAAAGAAACACTAAACGTAAGATGAAAAGACGGAACACAAAAGAGAACAGAAAAAATCAAATTATAAAAATCAAGGAATGACAGTTTGCGGATATGGAGAGCAGAATATTTATTTATTCAACTTCGCCTAACTAAAATACTTAATACTTTTATAGCTAAATTTTTATTAGGCAGGGAGACCACTTCAACCTAGCCAATTACAGTGGATCCCTCGTTAATGAGTCAAGTCTACAATTAGAGGTTGAGAAAGCGCACATTTTTTTTACTAGTGATTGAAGCACTTTTTTTAAATTCTGCTAAAGGGAAATACATAATAGCAGAATGCACCGAATTGTACAGTCTAAAAGCCTGAAATTAAAGATGACGATCAATTAAAACAAAATTAAACAGTACCAAAATATTACTATAGGACCTATAGCGACTTGAAATAAACTTCGACCAGTCGTCAATACTGCAATGGACTGGAGAAAGACAATGTACCATTATAGATACTGCGCTTGGTTTGAGCAGGACAAGGGAAGAATTTAATTTTTTGTCACAACAAAATGTATCCAATCTCAATACGACTGAAGGTTTTACAATACGTTGAAATGGATGCTACAATACGATGAAATGAAATGCTACTTTTCGCGCGATAGTTCGCGCGAAAAGAAGCTGTTAAGTTACGGGATTTGAAAAATAAAGCATCAGTGGGACCTTATATGGATGCTGAAATGGATAAATGAAGGGAAAAAAAAAAGCTTTACGTCCTTGAAACACCACTCTAATATAACTACTGTTAAGCCATCTACAGTTTTTCTCTTTTTTTACTAAAAAAACGCGAAGAAGGATAGGTTTTGAAAAACAGTTAAAATATTTTTTAGAAACATTATAAAAAGGTAAAAAAGCCCAAAAGCTAGACAACGTTTCGACGGTTTCACAACATCATTATCAAGTCAAAAAGTTAAGAAATTACAAATTTTAAGATACCAATAAGAACAATGGTTGCTAATTTAGAAGTAGTAACAAAGAAAATGAAAGCACTATTAAAGATTTATAAACCACGCCACATTTCGTAGAACACACTCATGCACTGGAGAGCTAGATCAGGCTATGGAAAAAAAATAGATCGGTTTAGCCAAATAGGTTTTCCTTTGTACTTTTGTCAGTTAGTCTAACGCATCTCATCTCATCTCTTTGTTACTACTCCTTCATTAGCAACCATTGTTCTTATTAGTATTTCAAGATTTGTAATTTCTTAACTTTTTGACTTGATAATGATTTTGTAAAAACGTCGAAACGTTGTCTAGCTTTGGAGCTTTTTTACCTTTTTATAATGTTTCTAAAATATTTTATCGCATTTTTTTATAGCTAAATGTTTTTCAAAACCTATCCTTCTTCGAATTCTTTAACTCTTTTGAAAAGAGGACATTTCGTGTATTTACGGAAAAGGACCTTTCGTGTATTTACTTTACAAGGAAATGTCAAACAGCTACATAAGGCGTTCTGCATTTACTTTTCCACAGAAATCAGACAGCCGAAAATATGTTTCATTCACATCGACGCCCTCAATTTCCATTTCAGACCACGTAATAATCTCCGACGCTAACTATAAAGGACCTTAAACCTTTGCCATAGAAGTATCAACGTTTCTTCCCAGAAACAAGACAGTCTTGGCTGAGTTACAGACGATGAAGCGACTTGTTACTCTCTTCTGTTGCCTCATTATTTCCCAGCTTTCAATGGCTGCGAGTCGTAATGCTTTGGTAAGTGTATAAGATCGTTACACAAGTTGAACATTAGAATTTCGAATGTTATATTCACATGTCTTTCAGTTATACTTGAAGGAATCTTCAGGTCTTCTTTCCTCGTACCTCATATTCCCTTAGCTTCCCATTTCATGCAATCGCCTCTAAAAATCGAATGAAACTTGAGGTACGTTAGACTAACTGTACAAAAGTGCAAAAGAAAACCTAGTTGGCTAAACCGGTATATCATTTTTCCATAGCCTGATCTAGCTCTCCAATACATGGTTGTGTTCCACGAAATATAACATGATATATAAATCTTATCTTATCTTTCATTTCCCATTGTTATTAATAGAACCGAGGAGGGATCGATACATCCCAAGGTAAGCTGCCTACATTTAAACCTATCATGCTGTATTTAAGTACTAAATAATGCTGCCTCTTTTTTCCCTAGTTATTCTAGCCATGCTGGTCTTTGCATTTCCTTCTTACTCGCGTTAGCGTTAAGGTCATTTCACTGAAATAGAACCTGCACTGAGATTTTTGTGAAACTTTGCCTATTGATTGTTTATATTATAGGAACTTGAATTTTGAAATAAAAA